TCTGGCCTGCAGCAAAGGCTTCAGCTGCCTGCCCAGCYAGCCCACAGAGGGGGCACGGGGTGGTGGGGACAGCAGGGCACGTTCAACCAAGCAGCCTGACMGGGGGCTTCTTGCTGCTGCTGCATTCATTGTCAGACATTCGCCCGCAACACAGATCTGCTTCATTTCCCTGACGCTCCGTGCGGCAGCACACAGCTCCTTGGTGCTTCCTTCTCGTGTATCTCATAAAATGGAGAGCGCTGGGGCTGCAGCCGAGGTGGGGAGCAGGGAGTTCACAGCCGGCACCTGTGCAGCTGCAGCATCTGCCGCACGCCCGTGCCATCCCATCCCATCCCATCCCGAGCCGCCGCTCCGGCCAGGCTGAGGGGAACAGCCCGGGAACGCCCTTCTCCTGGGCCAAAGGCACACTGGGAAAGAGGAAAAAACACTTGAGAGAAGGACGGGAGGCGCAGACAGCCGGTCGCCACGCTGGCGGCACAGCTTGCCTTTCTGTGCGAGTTCCTCAGGGAGCGCCAGGGACCCGCTCGGCCCTTGAGCACACGGATGCATCTCCTTCAGCAGCAGACGGGGCTCCTGACACCCTGACAAGGCGTTTCTGCCAGAGCTGTGTCCTCCCTGGGACACAGGGAGGGCAGTGGGACATTTCTGGGCTCAGCCCCGCCGGGCTAAAGCACACACACTGCTTCCCCTCACGCTGCGGGCAGTCTGACAGGCAATGCCACACACCCAGAGCCTGCGGGARCAGCACTGACCCCTGCCAGCGAGGTTTCTCATTCACCGGTGCTCTCAGGGCACGCACGGAATGCCTGCCCTCCGAAGCAGCTCTCCATCGTATCAGGACCTGCTGCTGCTCCGTGTCAGCTGCCAGCCCGAGCAAGGGCAGAGCCGCGGCGTTGGCGTCGGGCAGCACAAGGAGCGCTCTCCTCCCGCAGACAGGGAGCGAGGGATGCGGGGCAGACGGGAGGGATGCAGGGCAGACGGGAGGGATGCAGGGCAGGCGGGAGGGATGCAGGGCAGGCGGGAGGGATGCAGGGCAGACGGGAGGGATGC